AAAAAGAATTACAATATTTGAGTATCATTTTCTACCAAAAAAAAAAAAAAAAAGAGGCAAGGTAGAAAGTGAAAATTGTTCACAAATGGTTTGGCAGAATTTTACGGAAATATTCATCACTTTCATATCCCCTCCACCTCACCACAACCTAAATTGACACCACCCAGCAAACCTAACACAAGGAGGCCTCAGACACAATGAGTTTGTGCTAGAACCTGCAAAAATTGGGGATGAGAACAATTAGGAAGTGTCTATGAAGGAATGCAAACTTATGAACATGAAGATAAAGGGACACTAAACTCATATTGAGAAACTCCAAATCCAGGTTAAAGTCTAAATGAAGGTCAATGTTTGCTGTGTACAGGCCCTCCTTAAGTTCTTTCTTTAGGAAACGATCCCTCTTTAACCTCTCAGTTCTGTTTCTCTTCTTATCCTTTCCCTCACCTCCACCTCCTAAATTCCCCTGAAAGAGAGGTTAGTAAGCGGCAATGAAAATAGTTTTGCCAGCGCAATGTACAAAATTGTGTGATTTAACAGTTTGGTATGTGTGGGCGTGTATGAAACAAAAAAAAAGGTGCTGGGCTTACGGAAGGAGTAACAAGTGTATAGAAGTAACTACTGATATAGGTATAGTGACAAGTATGTCTGGTGAGCAGCGAGACTGCCAGGCACTCTGTGAACAAATCTATTTTGGATAAAAATCTCATTTAATCGTCAGTAAACCCCTATGACCTGGTCACTAAACAAGTGACAAAATCAAGCTCCAAGAAGCTAAATAAATTCGCCAGTCCTTCGTAATTTCGAGCAGGAACTCAAACTTTGCTGGTTTCATCCCAAAAATATGAAACGCGCTTTAAAAAAACAAAGTCCCTGTTCGCACATCTCTTTTAAGATCCCCTCGTCCCAATTCCTCTGCTCCCCGCCACTACCCCTGCCCCCCACCAGTCCCCAGCGGTATGAACTTGCAGTCTATACTCGCAGGAATTCAGTTTCCTTGGCTCCCCCACCCCCCACCAGCCAAAGCAACTTTTTAAAAAGCCCAAACGGAGTAGTAGATGGGCTCTTAAGTTTTCTTCAGCTACAACTTGTGTTCAAAGTACTCACCAGGGCAAAAGATACACGAAGATAAACAAGACCAGATCGAAGAGGATGAAGAGCCAGATATCTAACCAGTAGGAGTGCTTTGGCAGGTGCTGAGCCCCATGCCGAGGGCGTACTTCGTGGTTCGGCCGCTGCCTCCCGGCCTCGTCCACGCCTCGCCGCTCCCGGACCCCGTCCTGACCGCCTCGGGCCGCCGCATCGCCGTCCATCTCTAGCCGCGGCGGCACCGCCACTGTCGGGCTTAAGCGCCAGTGCCGGCACTTCCGCGTTCACGCCGCCGGAAACGAGGGCGAGTCCCACAGCCTACTCAGTCCGCTGGTCCCGCCCCCGGAAACGCTCCGGTCTCACCGCCGCAGGCTCAGTTCCGCGCCGCGGTCTCCTTCCCTGCGTGACGGCTGGCTCGTCGCGCGCCTCCGCGGCAGGTGGAGCGAGCCGACCCGCCCACACCCACCGCTGCCCTGCCGCGCGCTGCGGGATCCAGAGCTGGTTGCTCAGGTTTCGCTGGACCCCGGACGGAAGTCACTGTCACGTCCCATGAGTAGCAGGTGATGAATCGGCCCGGGTCGCTCAGGTGTGCGCTCTCCGCACTCACCCCTGTCCTCTCGCAGCTTTAGGCTGAAGATTGAGGGAGGCCCCTCGGGGGGGTTTTGTGCTGCCCTTATCGTGTTGCACTCACGGGATCCCCGAAACAGCTGTATGAAGTGGGCAGCATCGTGATGCGCGTGACTTCTAAGGGGTATGGAGAGCAAAACGTTAGAATTTTGCCTCCGCCTCGTGGGAGTGAATTACCAAATAAGCCAAAGGTTTGGGGTTGTGAGCCAGCGAAATTGGAATGCTGGCAGAAAAGGGGTGCTTGACTATTGGGAGGACAGACCCACCCGGGGTGCCCAGTTCTGCTTAATTAAGCAGAGAAAGCGTGCACGTTTTCCTTGCTTCTGGTGATGAGGCTGCTCCCCTTCCCGGGGGGTCTGGGTAGGGGGAAGCTCTCACAGGAGACATGCTTTGCTTCAGGAAGAAAAAGAAAGGTAAGAGGTGCTTTTCTTGTCCACTAGGGCCTTTATTTCAAAGTACTGTGTCAGAGTGGATTAGCTTGGGGTCAGATGCTCGTAACCCCTCATTTCTCCTGTCTTGAGACTCACCCAGAGATGTCCCCTACGCGCTCAGTTGGTGTCTGCGGAGAGGAGAGGACTGGGTTAGTAGCAGAGGGTGAAGGAATCTGTCAAGAGAGAACAAAAGTGGCAAAGACCTAATCGAAGCCCATTTCCCCTGTAGGTCAATGAGACTGGCAGGCCTCCATGGCGATCACCTGTGGCCTTGAAGGTGTGAGGTGCTTGGGCGCATGCGTAAGGGGCAAGCGCCGCCCGATAGGGGGGAACACCTGGAGCACGCGAGCGCATGCGCCAGTGGGCACACCTGCGCCTGGAGCTGGCTACAAGGGCGCCGTCAACGCAGCGTGGGGGCGGGAGGGCTACGAGACCGTGAGCTATGGCTGTGCGAGGACCAGCCTGGAGACGCCCAGAGCGATCCCAAAGAAAGAGTAAAGGCTTCTGGGGCCTGGCGGCCTCCTGGACCCGCAGCCGGCCTAGCTCCCACTACATTTGGCGTGAGTTTTACATGCTTACCCACTACATTTGGCTGGATTCAACGCACATGGGTATGGGGCCCTCCGAAGACCCGGGGAGGGTTTGGGGGTGGCAGGCGGTAAGCATGTAGTGCTGCTCTCAGGGCACCTCCCCAGAGTGGCCTGGGATGCATGAGGCTCCGGAGAGGTGCAGAGGACTCTGCACACAGTGGAGAGGCCACTGGGCAGACAGGATGCAGCTCGCAGACAGGGCTGGGGACGAGCGAGCGCCCCCTCGCAGTTCTGCCGAGGAGCTTAAGGACGACGCTGCGGGCACCCTGGCTGCACACCCGCATCTGTTAAATCAGTTCCGCATCCCCGACACCGGTACCCCGACACCGCTGAGCCTAGTTTCTGTTGGAAAGCGTTTTTCTTCTTTCAGAAGGTGCCAATAGCTCCTGCCTGGCTCAGGCCAACTACTTGGAAGCAGCGCTTTTCAGCCATCACGGCCCTTAGCCTCTCCTGGGTGGGTTTTCCAGGGCAGGAGGTTTCGGGGTGTAGCGGAGGCTGCGCTGGTGACTTCTCAGGGAAGGGCTGCTAGTGTTTTCAGTGACGCAGAACCCTGTCGCCTTCCTCTGGAAGATTCAACCTTTTGCAGATAAGCCCAAAAGTCTGAAAAGGTGTCTAAATTCAGAAATGCTTTTACCATTATGAAACAGTGGGCTTTGTGGCATACCCTTCTCATCTGCTCTATGTGGTTCTAGTATGTTCTCTGCGCTACTACTTAATGAACAAAGGAGCCCAGATTGGTAACTCGACTGGTCTGTAAGGCCAGGGTGGAGCGCCTGGTGGCTGGCAGCAGGCTTTCAAATCACTCACTTTTATCAGCACATAAGATTAAAAGCAAGTATCTGTTTATGGGAACAAGGTCAGAATGGGTTTTCACCCACCAGGTGTGAGTTTGATGTGTCTTGTCTTTCGTGCACCCCTGTCAATCTGACGCCCACACTTTGGCCTCGCCAGCTGTCGGGCTTGGGTGTGCCTCACAGGTGTTTTGTAGCAGTCCCAGACTCTTGCTAAGGGGCTTGCACCTGAGCCCAGTTAAGTTTCTCATGGACCTTTCCTTGTTTTAGTCCGTTGGGCTGGGCTTGCCCTCAAGCTTCTCATGATTGCAAGATTCCCTTCTAGAAGCAATCGCCATCAGGACACTTTGAAAAAAAAATAGAGGTTTGTTACTTAAAAGACCAGGAAATTACACAGTACACCTGGACTAAAGTGCAGGGGGAGGAGAAGAAGGGGAGAGGGGTGGTGTGGACAGGAGGAAGAGAGAGTGAAAGCAGGGCCTGAGCCTGGGAATAGGCTTTCTGTGTGGCCAGGGTTCAAGCACTTCCTAACTTCTCTGACTGGCAAATTCAAGTCATAAGAGCAGGGATTTAAAGCAAGCAAAGACAGACCCCGAAACATGAGAGAAACATGTCATGTCAAACTGACCAGCTACCTAGATTAGCTGAGTCTGACAGGATACCTCAGAGTGTGGAAACCTCAGAGAGAGAGAGAGAGAGAGAGAGAGAGAGAGAGAGTGTGAGTGAGTTGGGGGTGGGGGAGGGAGCTTGTTACCCATCACCCTACTGACCAGGTGTTTGCCTTGGCCCTGTCTGAAGTGGGCTGGGTGCCTGTGTCCTCCAGAAAAGTCAGCTGTGGGGAAATGGCAGTTCACCAGGTTAGTCTGCATTTTTGGTCACCTGGATGTAACCTTTGGTATTTGGCAACTGATGAAGTGAACAAGAGGTTTATGACTCAGGCAGCACAGGGTGGCTTTGTGAGCCAGTCACCGCACCTGCTGCCCAGACAAATGCTGTTACGAGGAGGCAGTGCTAAGATTTATCACTTCACAAGAAGCTTGAGGACACTTTCTGCAGAAGCAACCCTTGTGTCGCCTGGGTTTGTCAGCTAGGAAAGGTCCAGCATCACGCCAGTTTGCTGCCTTTCTGGGACCTCCCTGAGCAGTGGGTGATCCTGAGTTTCCCTAGGGGTTTGTGCCTAGACTAACCAGAGTAGACTCACATTGCTTTCTTGGGCATGTCTTCAGGTCCTGCTGTGTCCTGTCGTCCACCTATTCACAGTAGTGACCATTGTCCTATATAGCACGAGTGTGATAAACTAGCATGTGTGTGTGTGCATATGTTCGTGTATGTGTGCTCAGGGTAGAATTGCATTTGTGCTGGACCTGTTGAGTAAGAATGGGTTAGAGCTGATAGTGTTATAACAAAGGTAAAATTGGATTGGCGGAGACTTTCAGTCAGCCTCTTGATAGATGGCCTCAGAAAGGGCAGGCTTGATTCAGAATGGTGGAAAAGACCAAACTGCATGTTTGGCATCATGGCCTAGAAGACCAAACTGAACCGCCACAATGTCTTTTCGCAAAAGCGTTTCATCTCCCGCCGGCCACCAGGGGAGTCAGCAGGACTCTCTCCCTAGAAGCTGGCTCCCGAATGCAGGGGTGCTATGATTTTATGGGGCGGAAGTAGGATGAGAAGAGAGTGAGGGGCTTCGCTCTGAGGCCGAGCCAGTCCAGAGGCCCCAGGTCACTGCGTTTCTCTCTCCGCAGCGGTGTGTCACGAGGCCGTCGGCAGGCAACCACCAACAGCTGCTTGTCCTTGAAGTGACTGTCACTTCAGCGGCTCTCGCAGAGATGGAGCACGATTTCCAAGTTCCCCGAAATACACTTGGAGAGGTGCATTACAGGTGAGTTAAAGTTTAACCACAAGGAGGGGAGAGAGAACAAAGGGTTTGATTCTTGCTAGTCTTGTCTTGGTTAGTCTGGGAGTTTTTGTAAGTTTGGACAGGATTCCGCTCTAGTGAGTAAACCCAGAAAGGGAAGAAAATAAGTGGAAGTGTCCTTTTATTTGGACTCCGGGAAAACCCATGTACGTCATGATTTCGCTGTTTCTGTGGTTGGGAGTTTCCTGGGAACTTTAAGGCCACCTTAATACTGGCTTCTTGGCGGTGCGGATCGGAATCTGACGTGGCGGTCGGGAGGGCTTTCTTTTTCTTGTGATGGTGCTTGGCTGTACTCCGTAAGGACCTTCTCAGGAATGTGGTAATGACCCTTTTTGCTATACGTGTGGTCCTTGGTCAGGAGGGTTGGCTTGTAGGCTGCAGAGACCTGGTGCGTTTACCTGTGCTGATGTCCTGCAGTACCCAGCCAGACCACCAGCCGTCCACTATAGCAACATCCACGCAGTCCGGGGTCAGCAGGTTTTGAGATGCCAGGACGCTCAGCACCCACAAACACTGTTTCAAAGGGGGTAGTTCTTGTTTTCCACCGGGAATATTCCAGACTGTGATAAAGGCCAGAGATAATGCTTTCCGCTCTTTAAATGCAGTTTCTCAATAACCTTTCCTAAAAGTTCTTCATGTCTATGTTTTTATATCATGTTCACCCTAAAGATTGGGAAATTCAGTATGAAATTTTAATGAGTGCACCAAGTTTGCTGACACATCGCTTGCTTAAGTTAGCAAATGAATTTCTCGGTCTGACTCACTCCATTAAGGAATGCTAGAGTGAGAAATCCTCCATTGCCTTCTTCCCTGCTAGAGCATCGTTCTGCCTGGCCTGACGGCACCAGTCCAGGCACTCGGGTGAGGGCAGTAACCAGACACGGGAATAGCCTAACGCTGGAAGCGCAGCTCTGAAACTCACCTCAAGGGGCCTTGGGGGTTCAGGAGGTTTC